ACTTCCTTCCTCAGTTCGGTGTTCAAGAGGTTTGTTCCCCACTGCTCCTGCAGCAGATATACCTATACCATTGGGTCTAACAGTTTCCTTTTGAAGTACATATCCAAGAGAAATGAAAACATATGTACACACAAAAACTGGTACATGAGTGTTCCTAGCAGTGATATTCCTAACAGCCAAAAGTTGGAAATAACCAAATGTCCATCAACTGATGAATGGGTAAACAAACTGGGGTGAATATATATAATGAAATATTATTCATCATAAAAAGGAATAAAGTTCTAATGCATTCTGCAATAGAGATGAATCTTGAAAACATTATGCAAGTGAAATAAACCAGACAAAAAATATCATATTTTGTATGATTCCATTTATATGAAATACCCAGAGTAGGTAAATCCAAAGGGACGGTGGTTGCCAGGTAAATCCAGAGCAATCAGTGGCTGTCAGGGGCTGGAAGGAGGAGGACCTGAGGAGTGATTGCTTAATGTGAAAATGCCGTCCCCAACTTGCTGAGCAAGGTCCCTCAGCTGATGGGACCATCAGCAGTTTGGTGCTGCCATTTTCATTCAAAAGTTTAAATTCTCTCTTCTGAGTTGTAGTAAAAAAAAAAAAAGGACAGGCAGAATTTCTTGCACTTGTAGTTATGCATATAATTATAATTTGACAACATTAATAACAGAAGTTCTCTCATTCTTTGCTGGGGGAATGCATATGGTACAGCCACTTTGAAAGACAGTTTGGCAGTTTCTTTAAAAACTAAATATTCTCTTAACATATGATCCAGCAATCGCATTTCTTAGTATTTACCCAAATGAGTTGAAAACTTATGTCCACACAAAAACCTGCACATAGATGTTTATAGCAGCTTTATTCATAACTGCCAAAACTTAGAAGCATTTAGTCATTTAGTAGGTAAGTGGATAAATACACTGTGGTAGGTCCAGATGATTGAATATTATTCAGCACTAAAAATAAATAAGTGACCAGGTGCAGTGGCTCATGCCTGTAATTCTAGCACTTTGGGAGGCGAGGCAGGCAGATCACTTGAAGTCAGGAGTTCAAAACCAGCCTGGTAAACATAGTGAAACCCCATCTCTACTAAAAATACCAATAAAAATTAGCTGCACATGGTGGCAGGCATCTGTAATCCCAGCTATTTGGGAGGCGGAGACAGGAGAATTGCTTGAACCCGAGAGGTGGCAGTTGCAGTGAGCCAAGATCCTGCCACTGCAGTCCAGCCTGGGTGACAGAGTGAGACTCCATCTCAATAAATAAATAAATAAGCTATCAAGCCATGAAAAACATGGGAGAAACTTAAATGCATATTATTAAGTTTAAAAAGTCCATCTAAAATGGCTACATATTCTGTGAATTCAAATACATGACATTCTGGAAAAGGCCAAACTATGAAGACTAAAGAGATGAATCATTGCCACGGGCAACGGGGAGGGAGGGATAAATAAGCAGAACACACAGGATTTTTAGGGCAGTGAAACTATTCTGTTTAATACTACAGTGGTGGATGCATGTCATTGTACATTTTTCAAAACCATAGAATGTACAACATGGAGAATGAACCCTAATGCAAACGGTGGACTTTGGATGATAGCAGTGTGTCAGTGTAGGCTCATCAAGTGTAACAAATGTATGTCATGGTGCCAGATGTTGATAGTAGAAAAGGTTGTATATATTTGAGAACAGGGACTATATGGGAACTCTTTCAACTCAATTTTGTTATGAACCTAAAAGTGTTCTAAAAAATAAAGTTTATAATATTCTTTATTTTTTATTTTATTTTATTTTTTAAGATGGAGTTTTGCTCTTGTCACCCAGGCTGGAGTGCAATGGTGCCATCTTGGCTCACTGCAACCTCCACCTCCTGAGTTCAAGCAATTCTCCAGCCTCAGCTTCCTGAGTACTTGGATTACAGGCACATGCCACCACATCTGTAATTTTTGTATTTTTAGTAGAGACAGCGTTTCACCATGTTGGCCAGGCTGGTCTCAAACTCCTGACCTCAGGTGATCCAACCACCTCAGCATTCCAAAGTGCTGGGATTACAGGCGTGAGCCACTGTGCCCGGCCCTATTAATATTTTTTAAAAGGTTAGATGGTAAATTTTATGTGTATTTTACAACAATTTAAAGTAAAAAATAATATATTTAAAAATACATGGGTAACATACCAGAGTTCAAGATAGATAACGAATTTTAATACAGCATGTTAAGAAAAGTTCATTGATATGTTCTACATTGCAACTAAACTTTACCATTGGTCAAGTTTTGGTGTAGTATACAAAGAATACCTTTAATTATCTGAAAAAAAAGGTAAAATTATTTCTTCCTTGTCCTTTTCCAACTACATAGGCTAGATTTTCCTCAGATACATCACATGAAATATATAGCAAGAGACTGACTGCAAAACCAGAAATGAGAAGTAGCTGTCTTCTATTAAAGGAGACATTAAAGAGATTCACAAAAATGTTGTTCTTCTCAATATTTTTTGTTTGGAAAATATATTTTTATTTTGAAAATGTGATACTTATGTTAACAAATAAAAGGCATATTACTTTTTTTTTCTTTGAGACAGAGTCTCCCTCTGTCACCCAGGCTGGAGTCCAATAGCATGACCTTGGTTCACTGCAACCTCCGCCTTCTGGGTTCAAGCAATTCTCCTGCCTCAGCCTCCTGAGTAGCTGGGATTACGGGCGTGCACCACCACACCTGGCTAATTTTTTTTGTATTTTTAGTAGAGATGGGGTTTCACCATGTTGGCCAGCTGATCTTGAACTCCTGACCTCAGGTGATCCACCCACATCGGCCTCCCAAAGTGCTGGAATTACAGGTGTGAGCCACCACACTTGGTTGTTACTTTTAATTAATGAAATACACATTCTTACATTTCTATTTTAATTTCTAATATGTTAAACATTGATATAAATCCACATAAACAAAAGCTCTTTGAGAATCTCAATAATTGTTAATGTATAAAGGAGTTCGGAACCCAAAAACTTTGATAACCACTGCATTCAAATTTTGTATGTGTTAGGAACTGAATGTATCCCACAAAATTCTGTGTTGACTCCCTAACCCCCAATATGACAGTATTTGGTTATGGCCTTTGGGAGGCAATCAAGGTTTGATGAAGGCATACAGTGGGACCCTCAGGAGGGGATTCATGCCCTTATAAGATGAGACATCAGAGAATTTGCTCCTGCTGTCTCTTTCCCTGAACACGAAGAAAGGGTCCTGTGAGTACACAGGGAGAAGGCAGCTGTTTACAAGCCAGGAAGAGAACTCTCACCCCACTCTAACCAGGCTGACACTCTGGTCTTGACCACACCTCTGCTATGCTGCAGAGGTAATTATAACAGGATAGGAAGGAGAGTAGGCAGAGTTCTCAAAAATTTACAGTATCACAGGGGAGGTGTGCATGCAAGTAAAATGTCTGGATATGCCCTTATTTTCCTTCTCTTTTTACATACTATTCTGATTCTTGTCAGCGGGAATCGTGTCACTTCCTGCCTCTCCACAGTGGTCCATTTGCATTGTTTGGAGGTACTTACAGTTTATTTAGCAGTTCTCTTACTAATGAACTTTTATAGTTTTTCAATCATTTTGCTGTTAATTAATACATTAGTCAGATCCTACCGCCATAACAAAATAGCATAGACGGCATGGCTTAAACAACAGAAAGTGATTTTCCTCATAGTTCTGGAGAACTATGAGCTGGAGTCTCCCTCTGTAGCCCACTGCACTCCAGCCTGGGCGACAGCAGGGACTCCGTCGCAAACTTTTTTAAATTTTTTAATAATTAGACAAGATCTCTGTTGCCCAGGCTGGAGCGCAATGGGTGCAATCTCGGCTCACTTCAGTCTCCACCTCCCAGACTCACGTGGTCCTCCTCCCTCAGCGTAGCTGGGACCACAGGTGCGCGCCACCACCTCGAAGCATTTTTTAAAACTTTTTTGTAGAGATGGGGTCTCGCTGTGTTGCCCAAGCTAGTGTCCAACTCCAAGGTCAAACTCTGCTCTCCTCGACCTCCCAAAGCCCGGGGATTACAGGCGCGAGCCCCGGCGCAGGGCCCTGAGTCTTCTCCTTCCGGACGGGGCGCCCACTCCCCCGGAAAAGGCCCCGTTGCCAGGATGACAGGGCCAAAGGGACCCAGGCAGGGAGGGCCCCGGGCTTTGCAGGGAGTTGGGCCGCAGTGTGAGCACCGGGACGAGTGTCAGGGTCTAGGCTGGCTCACCGGGTCTTGACGCCAGGAGGCAGCAGAGCCCTGCCAGCAGCAACCAGAGGCGGAACATGGTGCGGCTTCGGGGCTGCCAACTGGAGGCCGTTGGGACGCCGGGAGTTACCGGAAGTTACCGGGAGTTACCGGAGACGCGGGGACGCGCGGACGCCGGGGGCCGCTCGCCGCGCGTTCATGGAGCAGCGTTCTCAGGAGGCCTGGGAGCCCGGGGTGCTCTGTGTGTTTAGCGCCGAGGCTAAAGCCCCAGACGCGTGGTTGCTGGAGCCATCTGACCACCCAGCGCCCTCTGTCGCGATCGAGCTCGTCGTCTTCCACTAATTTTTCGCTTTGCGTTGATGGACCTTAACAACTGACACACTAATTCACACTCAGCGTGTGCTCTTCTGCCCCAGACATTTCCTGGGTGCTCACTATTGCCCAGGCTGGTCTCGAACTGCTGGATTCAAGCGAGCCTCCCTTATATACCCAGTAACAAGACTGCTGGGTCAAATGGTATGTCTGCCTCTAGGTCTTTGAGGAATCACCAACGTGATTTTATGGATGCACGCAGTTTTAAAAGGGCAATCTATGCCTGAAATCAATAGCATGAACAAAAACAAGTCAACAGGCCCAGCGCAATGGCTCACACCTGTAATCCTAGCACTTACCGAGGCCGAGATGGGTGGATCACCTGAGGTCAGGAGTTCAAAACCAGCCTGGTCAACATGGTGAAACCCCGTCTCTACTACAAAATACAAAAATTAGGTGGGCATGGTGGTGGGTGCCTGTAATCCCAGCTACTTGGGGAGGCTGAGGCAGGAGAATCGCTTGAACCCAGGAAGTGGAGGTTGCAGTGAGCCAAGATTGTGCCACTCCAGCCTGGGTGACAAGAGCAAAACTCCATCTCAGAAAAACATACGCATACACATGCGTGCGCGCAGGTACACATGGCAACAAAAAAATACACTGAGCTTTTATCTCAATAGGAACAGCTAATGCTAGGCTAAGACTGCTTTTAGGCAGCTGCTGAGCCACAGCTAATTTCACCTAGCTTTGTAACAAATACAGTAAATGCTTCAATTCATCGATTAGTGATAAGTATTCTGAATGAATTTCTGGTTCTTATATTTTGTTCTTTCTCACTCCTCAACCTTTCCAGTTTGTATCTTTAATAGGGCTGATTTTGTATTATTCTTAACATGTGTGTAAGGCTCTCTTCATAACAGAAGATGACTTCTAAGTCAGGAAACATATCCTATCCAGAACTTAGATATCACAGTGCCTGAAAAAATGGTAGGGTTTTGGTAAACATTCATGAAATTTAATAAAATCTGATTTGGGTCTAGAAAATCAGATTTTATTAAATCAAATTGTGCTTAACTCTATGGTTACAGACACAGGCTTGATAGGAAGAATGCAATACCCTGAACAAGGTCAGTTTGACACATTGGAGTCAATTAGAGATGTCAAACTTGCATATAATTTATCCTTATTTATTCTTTTTGATGATAGAAAGGATGTCCTTTACTATTTTCAAATTTTGAAATGGCATCCATAACCAAGAAAGTAAAAACATAAAGTATATTTTAAAATACATCAAAGTAAAAGAAGTTCAGATCCAACACTCTTTAAAAACTTTCTAGTCAAAGATCCAAGGAACTATCTAATTTCAAGAAAAGTGTTAAGTTACATAGTTAATACATTACCAACTGTAAAATTTCAGTGATAAGCATTACAATTGCAAAAACTGAGGCTACATGAAAGGGACGAACATTTGAATCTTATATTCATTCAGAGATTTACAATGAAATGATGGGCCTTCATTTGAGATTGCTCACAATGTTTAATATGTACACCTGATCGTTCAAATAACATGCTATCTTCAGAGAACTTAAATTTTTGCCTTCTTCAAAACTAATCTGTTTTTCTTTAATAACAAAAAGCCATTGTGCACACTTTGGCAAAAGTCTGAAAAATGAGTGAGATAATATCTGTAAAAGTTTGACTAGGATTGTTATCTAAAATTACAACTTTTTAATAAGATTATAAATAGTTGAGTAGGAAGCCACTAGGAGACACAAAAGAGAATTTCAAGTATTTTCTTTATTGTAAATGTTGTATCTGTATATGTTTATATACACAAACCAAAAACACTTTTAAAAAACTAATGAAATTCAGTTAATAAACCTATTAAACTTTATTATGAAAGGTTATGAAAACATTTTTAGTGCTTAAAATTTTACTATCCATGCCATTTCTGCCATAGTAAAAATTCATTTTTAACACAGCTCAGATGATAACTCATAGATACCACAGTAACTTTTTTGTACATATTTAAGAAAACCTTTTGTTCCTTCTTTCTCCAGCCTAATTTCTATGAAAATATTAGTGTCGACAAAGACATGACCCAGCACACCTTAGTAAATGTAAACATTCTAAATGATTTAATAGCAAGCTTTGAAAGTTCAGATTTTAGACCTAAAGTGCTCATGAAATTTTCAAGTGGTTTTGTAACAGTTCAATTGATTGAAGATTTTATAATTGCTCCTGCTTTATTATAGTCATGAATCAACAACATATTTGATTAGATCTATTAAATATTTCGTACCTTAAAGCTTATAATTTATTTAAAATAGTGCTATTGTGAAAGGATGTCATGCTTTAACATGATTCATAATAGAAATTCTAATATTAATTTCTCTAAGAATTATCTATAGTTGAAAGATCATAAAAATGGAAGCGAAGAACTGTGCATGAATACACACACTCTTAGTATATTTTGTACTTTCAAAATAATATGACATCTTAATTGTGGTTCTTGTGCATTCTTTTGAAGACAGAATATTTGCTTATTCATGTACTGAATGACAGACAAGATTCTAGAGTATGATGATTATTAATTCGTGCAAGATGAAAAACATTACATATCATTGGCAGCTGATTAGTCAGTTTTCACAGGTATTAGATTATCACATGTTTAATCAGAAACTACATTAATGATAACTAAGGTCAAAAATTCAGAATAACATTTAAACACATAATGACAAATCTTACACCAATACAGTTAATTTGAAAATCATCACAATGATATGTTCAAAATAACGTAATCCATGATTAGTGCATTAACCTCATGATGACTGAATAATTATTTAATGATGGAAAAGGAAATGTTACTGTAAATTCCCTGGCTTTACTGCATTTCCTTGTATTTCTCAATTCTCACACTCAGTTTCTGTTTATCTGTGTTAGTAAAGTCTGTTTTGTGATATTTTGTTTTCATTCATAGTTGCAACAGGAAGAAAGGCTTTTCAAGAAAACAAGAAAAAAAAAGTATTAGCTCAGTTCCCTGAAGACATTTGCAAAAAGAAGATTAAAAAATCAAGTGAGGGAACTATATAAAGGAGGTGCAGGAGCAGGACGGGCAGGAATTAAGTTTCCCTGAGATGATACTTTCGGTTGTGGCGGAGGTGGCCTGTGAGGGAAAAAAAGTTAATAACGTGTTTAGACTGGATGAATTAATGCCATATTCATTACAAGCTCAACATAATACCATCCTCAGCATCTCTGACAATAGGAAAGGGTACTTTACATTCTGAGATCAGTATTAAGGTGATATTCAATGGCTAAAGGGCTCTAATTAGAATCTAAAATGGAATAACTACTTTAAATAATGCTACTCCACAATCAACAATGTTATATGAAGGTTCTAGTTTACATGTTTTGTTTTGTTTTTCAAAAAATAAAAGCACAAGAAATGGTAAAGATAAACTGTAAAAGACAAGTGAGGACACTAAGTGATCAAGCACTTGTTTGTGCTGCTAGAATTTAAGGGCAGCAAATTACTGGTAGGTGTAAACCTAGCTGTTTATAGCTCCTTCAACATAAGGGAGCTCTCTCAACATGAGATCCACTCTGAGAATTAAATGTGTTATGACTTCTATACCTGTCCATCTCAGTCCTCATACTTCCACCTGTGGACACCCTCTCCTAGCCTCATCATCCAATTCTAATACACCTCTACTCCAGTAACACACTAGAACACTACCTGGTGAATGTCTCCCTCCCAATTTATATATTCTTCCCCTGATCCTCAGTTGGATTTCAACGTATTCTTATTGTATAATAAAGATTATGGCTGGGTGCAGTGGCTCACTCCTGTAATCTCAGGACTTTGGGAGGCTGAGGCGGGCGGATCACCTGAGGTCGGGAGTTCGAGACCAGCCTGACCAACGTGAACAAACCCCATCTCTACTAAAAATACAAAATTAGCCAGGCAAAGTGGTGCATGCCTGTAATCCCAGCTACTTGGGAGGCTTGAGGCAGGAGAGTAGCTTGAACCCAAGAGACAGAATTTGCAGTGAGCCAAGGTCATGCCATTGCACTCCAACCTGGGCCACAAGAGCAAAACTCCATCTCAAAAAAAAAAAAAAGAATACATATGAAGACAGTCCCTGGAGTTGCAATGCAATTGTAATTTAAAAGGCTGTGGGGTGAGAGGGTCACATGCATTTTATGTAATACGAAATGAAGTAATAAATTATCTTCCTTCCAGATGATTTTAAGCCCATCAATTGAGTCTCTGGTTTCAGTTCTTGTGTTTTTCAGTTCTAGAATTTCCATTGATAACCTTTGTTTTTAAGTTTTTAGTTCTGTGCTGAAATTCTCAATCTTTACTTTTAATTCCATGACATCATAGTTAAAGTCCAGGTCTAATCACTATTAACTGAATACCCTCTCAGTCTGTTTCTATGGTCTATTGTTTCTTGGTTTTAGTCACATTTTATTTTCTTTTACACTTGGCTTTTTCGATCATGAGCAAAACATAAGAAACTGTAGAAATCAGTTGAAGGTCTGGTTCACTCTTACTTCTGGGTCCCAGCACCAAATCTGGGATGTTTACCAGAGTGCCTCCTCTTTGGCAGGGTTCCAAATTTTGTGCCCTCTGCCCTGTGAGTTTGTAGAAAGTTCTCCTCAGCTTACTAGCCTGTCTGTTGTCAGAACAGGTAAACTCAACCAGGAAGGAAAAGTGGCCCCAAAGCTGGGATCGTTTCTAGATTTCCTCCTCTCCTGACCTTACCCCCATAATTCCCCATAATTCCTCACTTCTTCAGTCGTCTGTGCCTTCAAACACACAGTTTCTTATATTGTCCAGCTTTTTTAGCTGTTTTTGACAGGAAGGCTGTTCTAACCCATCTGGTTTCCTACTGCTGGTTATCTCAAAGGACCTTGCTTCTGAATCGTATGCACATGAAAGCTGTGGCGGCAGAATCTATGTATTGCTCAAGCTTCTTTAACATTTCATTTTGACCCTATACCAATATGACAAAATTTATATAAAAGTTATTTTAAAACCTTTCTGCAAATCATGTTCCTGTAAACTGTTGAAAATAAATACCTTGTACTAAATTACATTAAAATATAGCGGAAATTATTAGACATTAACCCGTGGGTTTTATTCTGGTCAAAAAATCTAAGCAAATTTTCTTATTACCTTGATGGGAACTGTTGAGGTTGCTTGGCTGCATAGGTTGGTACTGGAAATCTGTTTGCATATATAGGCTAAAAAGAAAAAATAATAAAGTTATTAACACAATGTGCTCATAACTATGATTTCTATAATAGAAATCCAAATATTTAAAATCAATAAACACACTACAGGTGAATATCCCTTATCAGAAATGCTTAGAGCCAAAAGAGTTTCAAATTTCAGATTTTTTTCCAATTTTAGAATATTTGCACATACATAATCAGATATTTCGGGGGAGGGGACCCAAGTCTAAACAGAAAATTCACTGATGTTTCATATACGCCTTATACATATAACCTGAGGGTAATTTATACGATATTTTACATAATTTTGTGCATAAAACAAAGTCTGTGTATGCTGAGCCATCAGAAAGCAAAGGTGTCACTCAGCCCCTCATGTGGACAATCTGTGGTTGTTTGGCATCACCATCACTCCTGACTCTGAATTTATATGCTACTGGTAAGCAATCATTTTCTCACATGTATTCACATATAAGTGCTCAACAGTGCATTCTGACTGCAACTCGTCACATGAGGGCAGGTGTGGAATTTTCCATTTGTGGCATCGTGCTGATGCTCAGAAAGTTTGGGTTTTGGAGCATTTTAGATTTTCAGATAAGGGGTGTTCAACTTGTATTTATTTATAATGCTGACAGTTTAAAACATTTTGTTTGACATATCTTTACTATTGAATGTGGAATACTTAATTCTTTTAAGGTATTTTTTTAATTCAGTAATACCAAAGTACTATGTGGTTCAAATCAACTGTATTAATTAAAAGGTAACATATTTCTTACGTCAATGTATTTTAAATAAAATCTTCCAAAATGTATTGCCAAATCTATACAGTATCTAACACTATAAATACCACTAATCTAGAATCCTTGACTTTGAAATTCATGATATTCTTCCTTGATGAAGCAGTTGACATTTACAACAAACTGAAACTGTATAAGAGCCCCAAATAAGAAAGTAAAAGTAGTATTTTTTATATATCACATTACTTTAGAAGACGTTAGGAAGATCAGATGGAATTACTGAATCACTAATGAAGTGACCTTAACCAAGATGTTCTTTACTATCTACTGTTAATTCCTTAAGTTCTATGACGGGAAGAGAATGCACAATGGTGGAAAAGACCTTGAACACCCTCTGGCCTCTACCATAGAACAGGTGGTCTATCATCTGCAAATTTTTCCCCATGGAATGATTTATATGTACTGTGAAAATGGAGAAAAAAATGCAACAAAATGTCTCCATCTCTTTCCACAAGCCATAGGAGCAGCACTTTCTAAAGGGATGAAGTCCACTTTTGGAATGACAATGTGGTAAGGTGATGGGTATGGAATTGGCTTGACTGAATCTTACAATAAGGTATAGATAGACCAAAACATCACATTGTGGCCAGACGTGGTGGCTCACGCCTATCTATAATCCCAGCACTTTGGGAGGCCGAAGTGGGTGGATCCCTTGAGGTCAGGAGTTCAAGACCAGCCTGGCCAACATGGCAAAACTCCATCTCTTAAAAAAAATCAGCCAGGTATGATGGTGCACACCTATAATTCCAGCTACTCGGGAGGCTGAGGCAGGAAAACTGCTTGAATCCGGCAGGCAGCGATTGCAATGAGATGAGATCACATCCCTGCACTCCAGTCTGGGTGACAGAGCAAGAATCCATCTCAAAAAAAAAAAAAAAAAAATCACACTGTACCCCAAAATATACACAATTATTATTTGTCAATTAAAAATAAATTAATGAGAACAAGCTAAAAAGATTATAAGCAAGCAAGATGCTGGATGTGTTAATTAGTTTGATTTAATCATTTCTACATTATTTACATAAATCAAAACATCATGCTGAACCCATAAATGTATACAACTATGATTTGCCAATTAAAAATAAAATCAATTTAAAAAATTTTTAGCCTTGTTTGGCATTTATCTGATATATACTTTTAAATGTATGCAAAGACCTATTTACAAGGGTGCTTGATGCCACATTTTTTAATGGTATAAGACTAGAAACAACCTATTTTTAAATTTCTGGTAAATTTATAAGATAGAACAGTATGCAGTTACTAAAAAGAATGAAGTACATGTTCATTTCTTGCAAAGACTGGACCAAATGTCCAGAGAAAATTCCCAGTATAGTGCATTTAAAATGCTGGCTATAGTACTTAAAAGGTATTTTGAAATACTTGGCTGAGTTGGTGGGAAGTAAGAAACAGCTTACAGGCCAAAAAAAAAAAACCCAAGAAGGTATGAAAGAGTCCAAACTACGGAGTTGCTTTGTCCTGTGAACATCTTCCTATCCTTGGTAGGTGGCAGTATGTGTTTTCAACAACACATAGATAAGGGACGCAAAACCTGGGGCCTGAGCTGGATGGAATGGTGTATAATACAAGGACCTATATGAAGCCTCAGCATATGAAGGGTGATATCCCATGGGTTAACTAGAAAAACAAATACCTGCCCCAGAGAAGGCCAGTGGTGATACTCTGCCTTGGTGCTGATAGACGGGGAACTAAAAAAAATAGTCTCCACAAAGAAATTCTTACCATACACCCATCCTCATAACAGTATGGGGGCCAGAGTTCATAACATTTGTGTAGCAAAAAAAAAAAAAGAAAAAAATTCAACAAAAATTTCTGTTTAAAGACATCAAAGATTGACCATGCCCCCAAGCAACTGGCAAAGAAAAATAAATACTCTTAGTAGGAGAAACCCACTATAATTCAGGACTCAAATATATTTATTTCCAATATAAAGTTGCAAACAATGTGAGTTTACAGTCAATATCACAAGTGTACTAAGAAATGAGCTATCACAAGAGTCAGCAGAAATAAACCTGAGAACCCACCAAGGGCATACATACTAAAATGGCCAGATAGAGCACATAAAATAGGTGTTTGAATATGCTTTAAGAAATAAAAGCTTTAAAATATATAATAAAACTGTAACAAAAAATCACAACCAGGCAGATGTGAAATAGAACTAAGTAGAACTACAGAAATGAAATGTACTATAAAACTAGTTAAATTAGATATTCAACAAGTCAGTTAAATATCAGATTTGGCATAGTTTAGTAGACTAGTGAATGGAAGGTAGATCCAATATGATCAGAATGGAATACGCAAGAATAACTGGATATATCGAAGAAAGGTTAAGAAACAGAAAGATAGTAAAAAGTCTAACATGCAGGAAATGCATGAAAGAGTTAATCAGATAATGAGACAGAGGCAATATTTAAAGAAATAATTGCTAATAATTTGCCAGAATTGAAAAATATAAATCAGGTTCAGGAATTCTACTTATTGGCAAAGGAGTTTTTTTTTTTTAAGTCCACATCTACACCAACTAGTCTAAAGATATAGAAGAAAAAACCACATGGAAAAGACATTATCTACGGCAGCAATTAGAGTAACAATTTTTAAATTGCAACAAAGGAAGTTAAAATCTAGTCTTTTTAAAGTTCTTAGGAAAAAAAAGCTGTCAGCCAAAAACATTCTGAAAAGACAAAAACTGACAGAATTTACTATCAAAATACCTTCACTAAGGGAACTTCTAAAAGACACATGCCAGGAGGATAAGCTGATTCAATAAAGTAGGAAAGCAGACAATGAACTCAGGGGAAATAGCTAAAGCTCAAGGAGCATTTCACACGTGCCAGATGCAATTCTCAGTGCTCCACACATACTAATCCCTCTGATTTTCACAAGTCATTTGTAATTAGTATTTTTTTTTATTTTTTATTTTTTTTACAGATGAGGAAACAAGTATATAGAGTTTGAGAATCTTGCCTAAAGTCACAGCTTACAAAGTAACAAAGGCAGTGCTCAACCTGGGCAGTTTGGTTCACGGTCTACCCTCTTAACAATTCATTAAATTGGTGCATGACATCCCAAATCTAAACAAACATTTCATAATTCAATAGTCACATCTATATTGTAGAATTTTTAAAAACGAATGAAAATACTAAACAACAGCCTACTAATAGGGAGGAAGTGATCAGAATTAAAGCATTCTAAAGTCTTTATATTATTTAGAAGAAAAGTAAATATGTTAATTTTAGGCATTACATATGCATTTTTTAAATTTTAGAATTATCTCTAAAAAAAGATCTTATCTATATATCTGGGTTAACCCTCCAATAAGACTAAACACTGGCCCAGGAGGAAAGTGAAATGTGGCAGGAGAAGAACCAAATCAACCCAAAAGAATACAAGAGGAGTTGGGTATAGGGAAAAAAAAAGAAAAAAAGAAAAAGAAAAATGATGAAATCACAAAATAATAAACTATTAATAATGACCAGCAAGCTAAATGAATTACAGTCTGCAGTAAAATGACAAATAGTTTTTAAAAATTAAAATTCTAGAATTTCTATTTTCAAGAGTAAACATAAGGACACAGTTGCATGTAAAAAGATATGATGTAAATATTAACCAAAAAGAAAAATTATTGCTGTATTAATATCAGAAAAAATAGATCTCACATGAGAAACTGTCTTTCCCAAGGTTGTGTATAAGTACTCTGACTACTGAAAGCTGAAAATCTAAAAACAGTTATCAGGGACTGCTTTAAAGACTTCTAATAATCAATATGAAAGATGACATCTAGAACATGAGGAAATTTTAAATATTCTTTAATTGAAACTGAAAGCATTTCTCTTAAAATGAGGCATAAGGAAAGAATATCTGCTTTTACTATTGCTATGCAACATAGTACTAGAAGATCTATTTACAAGATCTAGTCAGAGCAACTAAAAAAGAAATAAAAGGCACCTAAACAGGAAAGGAAGAAGTATCTCCATTAACACATACAGTCAGGCAAAAAAGAACAAATAGGTACAGAAGAACAACTATTATATGATTCTGCTTACACGGGATAATCAGAATAGGCAAATTGCAAGAGATACAAACTGGAATGGTAGTTGCCAGGGGCTAGGGTTAGGGGAAATGGTAAGGTATTACTTCATAGGTACAAAGTTTCTGTTTGGGGTAATGAAAAAATACTAGAAACAGGGGTGATGGTAGCATAACACTGAGAATGTAATTAATGTCAGTTAAGTATATTCTTAAAAATGGTTAAAATGTCAGAGAGACCACCCAGGTGTAGTGGCTCATGCCTGTAATCCCAGCACTTTGGGAGGCTGAGGTGGGTGGATCACAAGGTCAGGAGTTCGAGACCAGCCTGGCCAATATGGTGAAACTAGCCTGGCCAATATGGTGAAACCCTGTTTACCACAAAATAGAAAAATTAGCTGGGCATGGTGGTACACGCCTATAGTCCCAGCTACTCAGGAGGCTCAGGCAGGAAGTCTTGAACCTGGGAGGTGGAGGTTGCAGTGAGCCGAGACTGCACCACTTCACTCCAGCCTGGGTGACAGAGTGAGACTCCGTGTCAAAAAAAAAAAAAGTATAAGCACAGACTGACTAGGAAAAAAAAAGTGAAGAAAAAAAAAATGTCAGAGAGACCACAGTATCACAGACAGACACCTGAGGGTGCTCTTGACTAGAAACCAGCCAAACCACAATAATTAGGAGATTGCACAAAAAAACCTCACAGAGGACACATCCCCATAAAAGATATGAGAGGCTTCCATATGTCCTTGTATAAAAGAAGACTGCAAAATCTGGGAAAGCAGCTAATTCTTCAAATGCCAAAATCCCAACAATAAATGACAAATAATACAAGGAAATAGAAACATGGCACATTTAAAGGAACAAACTAGATCTCCAGAAATTGACCCTAAGGAAACAGATATATACAAATTGCTGAAGAATTCAAAAATTAAAATTAAAAGAGAATGCAAAGAGACAACTAACAGAAATCAGGAAAATGATACATGAACAAAATGAGAATATCAACAAAGAGAAAGGAACTATAAAGAAGAACCAAACAGAAATTCTGGAGCTGAAAACTGTAATGCTAAATTGAAAGATTCACTAGAAGGATTCGACAACAAACATGATGAGGTAAAAGAAAGTACTAGTGGACTCAAAGACAGTATATTCAAAATAAAAGTGGCAGAGAAGCAAAAAAGGTGAAGAGAAAGGAAAATAAATAGCAACACAAAACCATACGAAAATATAAAACTCAATAATAAAGATAAGTCTATAGATAAATAGAGAATCCTGTAGTACTGTGAGTGTGAAAATCACTTTTTAGTCTTGTTAGAATGTTAAAAGCATAGCATAAAAAGTAATGAATCTGTGTTAATGATATGCAATATAAAAAGAAGCAATTTTGTGTCATCAATTACATGAAGTGGGAGAGGAAGAAATATAAAGGGGTAGAGTTTTTGTGATTGAAGTTATCAGTTTAAAATAGATTTCTATAACTTTATAAAATATTTTATGTAATTACAAAAATGTCACAATATATGTGCTATAGAATATGCACAAAGGAAAATGAGAATCAAAATACTACAAAAAAATAATAATTTATTATATATTTCAAAATAGCTAAAAGAGTAGAGTTGGAATGTTCCTAACATAGAAATGATAAATCCTTGAGGTGATGAATATCCCAATTACCCTGATTTGATCATTATACATTGCATGCTTGTTTCAAAATACCACAGGTACCCCATGTGATATGTACAACTATTATGTATCCATAATTGATTTTTAATTAAAAAGTAATCAAAAGAAGGCAGCAAGGGAAGAAGGGGCAAAAACAAAATAGCAACAGTAAGTCT